GCTGCTGGGCCTCTTCTCGGCTGCTGGGTCGGATGAAGTCCTCCTCCTGAGAGGTCAGCGGGGAGACAGGAGAGGACCCGATGAGTCCCGTGCCCAGGCCCAGGAAGGGCAATCCTCAGAAGAGCCTGTGGGAGCCACGAGCCTTGGCCTCGCCAGCTGCTTTCTCATTGGAAAGTTCTTAAATCCGCAGCCGTATATGCACACAGTTATTGGATCCGTCAGCCCCGAGCACGTGCCCCTGCTGCAGTGTAACCTCGAGCCCGAGAGCACAGCACTGAACATGCATTGTATTTAAACAATGGCTCGATCTGCTAATACAATTTTATTTTCAAATGACCGCCCTAATGTTATTTTCTCAGTTGGCACTTGTCGTGGCTGCTGTCACTTAATAAATTAAAAAATGAAAAGCCAGTCTTCTGGAAAGCCTTGGGTGCCTATCGTCACCCGAACACCGTGGCAGTGGGTCTGGAAGCCCTGAGGAGCTGTGGTGTGGCTGCAAAGCTGTCCATACAGGGTACAGGCTGAGGGAAGGGGCAACGGCCCGCGCCTGTGTGACCGCGTCTTTTTATGAAAACATACTCTTCACTATTTTTTAAACATTTATGTATTTACTTACTCATTTACTTATTTATTTATTTTGAGAGAGAAGGAGAGACAGAGTGGGGGAGGGGCGGAGAGAGAGAATCCCAAGCAGGCTCCATGCTATCAGTGCAGAGCCCTACTCGGAGCTTGATCTCATAAACGAGAGATCATGACCCGAGGCCAAAATCAAGAGTTGGACACTCAACTGACTGAGCCACCCAGGCGCCCCCACAATGTACTCTTTTTTTAAGCTAGTAGCTTGGGTTATTTAGCCAAAGGCTAAAAGAAATGTATGAACTAAAAAAAAGTGGAGAACACAACTTAAAGAAATATGGATCTATAGATATTCCATAAATGCTTCCTTTCCCTGGCTTCATTAATCTAATCTCCATCTTAACTTGTTTAAAGGGCTTCGGAGCAATAGTTTTACCTGCTATTTCTTAAACAGAAGGTACTACAAGGGCACCTGGGGGGCTCAGCTGGTTAAGCTACTGACTCTTGGTTTTGGTTTGGGTCATGATCTCAAGGGTTGTGAGTTCTCTCTCTCTCTCTCTCTCTCTCTCACTTGAGATTCTGTCTCCCCCTCTCTCTGCCCCTCCTCTGCTCATGCTGTCTCAGTCTCTCTCAAAACAAATAAGTAAACTTAAAAAAAAACCCCATTTTAAACAGGAGGTGTTACATGTTTTCTTAGTACTTCTTTTCCCTTAATCTTCCCCAGGGTTCATTTACATCTTTTGCTTTTTTCTGCTGTACATGATTACCTTGGCCTCCTGGACTCATGAGTGCCATATGTCATTTTTTCGATTGCATAAAGCCCAGGGTGTGCTTTGTCCTGGGCAGGACCTTTCTATGGCATTCAGACCAGCGGCCTCCTCAGATCCTCGCTTTTAAAGTGGCCATTTTACATACAAGTCACTTGCATAAATTGCTAAAAATTATTCTCTATCTACTTTAGCAAGCCGTAATCTCTGCCAAGCCTCTAAAAAAGATTTTCCCAACCAAACCCTCTAAAATGCACTTGAATATAACAACACAGTTTCAAATTAGTTATACTTCCTAGCGCTCACTGAGTTTCAATCACGGCTCTCAATTTCTAACAATACTTCTCCCCCCACCACCACCCCCACTCCGCTGCAAGTTACATTTCTTGCTGAAATATTCTTTGTTTGTTAATCCATTCAACAACTACTTATTAAGCAACTACTATGTGGCAGGCATAGGGCTGGGTGCTGGGAGGGCAGTGATAGTAGAATATGCAATGTCCCTGTTCTCATAGGGAGAACTAAGGAATAGTTAGCCAGGACTTTCTCCACCTCAGTACCATTAACATTTGGGACCAGATACTTTTTTTTTCTTGTAGGGGGG